ATCTTACATGATATTTACATGATATTTGAAGGTCTGTTGCCTCCTCTACTGTGTGTTAAATTTTTCCCTAAATTTGGGATTTTTTTGTTATGATTTTTTTTTTTTTGGTACTGGGGATTGAACTTGGGACCTTGGGCTTGCACAGCAGGTGCTGGAACCACTGAGCTAAATCCCCGGCCCTCTGTTATGATTTTTGTAAATAGATTTTTTTTTTGCTGTCTTTTCTTTAACATCTGTTATTCTTCAGTTACTTCAGTTTGTGTCATCTAGCAGCTGTTGGATCCAGTTTCCATGATCTGTTGCTGGGGGAGTTTTGTTTTTGTTTCTGTTTTGGTTTGGTTTGGTTTTTGGTTTTTTGAGATGGAGTCTTGCTATGTAGCTCAGGCTGCCCTTGAACTCATATTGATCCTCCTGCCTCAGCTTCCTAAGTGCTGCAATAATGCGTGTGCACCAACAGGCCTGGCTCTGTTGCTGTTTTTAAGGTACCTGTGAATATATCCTCTCCTGCATCAACCTTATTTTCTATTTCTGAAGCTCTCTGCTAGCATTGGACATTTCTGCTGCTCATACTTTCAATAGAATTTTATATCCTGAATTTCTGTTTGATTCCTTTGCATGAACTCTTATTCTTTCCTGAACTGGTCACTCATACGTTGTATCAAATTGATTAGTTCACCTAGGCTTTTATTACTGTTTCCTTTAAGTCCTCTGATTGTTTTACCAGTTAAGCCCCTTCTGTATTTTCTTACATCATCTTTAATTTCACTGAACATGTTATTTACCTGGGGTTTATTTTATTTCTTCTTTTATCCCTTTAGACATTGCAGCAACTCGGTTTTTCACTTCCTCCCCTTTAGTGCCCATTGGAACAACTCTGGGGAGTTGTAAATAAAGCCTTTTGCCACCTTGCTTTCTCATATGTCTACTGTTTTGTGTGTGTGCTGCAGGTTGAGGATCAATTTGAGTGAAAGATTGTTGCTAATATGGAGATCTCTGTAGGCAGTGTCTGCTTTCCACTGAAGCGATACTGGCTTGGGCTGTGTTTGCTATTTATGTACCTCTTCAACCTACTGAGATTAATCCCTCACACCCAGTTGCCATGTGCAGGAGGGGTCCCTACTGATTAGACCAACAGCAATGGATCCAAACATACATCAATCGTGTACCTCAAAACTTATTTTAACAATTTCTCCCTTCTCTCAATGACCCATGAAGACCACGATATACTGCTGCCGATGGGGAGGCTGGGATCTGGTGGGTTGTGGAAGGAGAAAGGAAGTGAAAGTGGAAGGAACAGATGAGAAAGAAGAGAATGAGAACAGAGGGATAATGCCAGGTATAGAAAGACACAAGACTGAACTTTTTGTTATTGTTTCTATGACTGGAATGAAGGGCTGGCAGAGAGGAGGTTTGAGAGCAGATTTTGGGGAGTAAGCAAAGGGGTGAAGGGATGGAAATGTCACTGGAGATTGTGAAAAGCTGCATGCAGGTCAGAAACTGTGCATGTGGGAATAATGAACTCATGTTTGAATCCTGGGTCCTGTTTTGGTGAGGTTTACCTGACTTGCAGTGGGAGCCACTATTTAAATTAGGGCACTGGTTAATATTTATTTTCCTTTTTATGTGTACACATATTTCCCATATGTATATTTCTGCAGGTTTCCAGATTGGTGCCTTTTATCTTGTTTTCTGACTAAACTGTGTCTCTCTGTCAGTTTGCCTGAGGCTCCTTCTGCATCCTCCACAAAAACTGCCACTTTCCAGCTGTGTGCTCTGGTGCCCAGAGCTCCTGTCACTCCGCCGTCTTCAGCTGGAGGTGGAGAGTTTTCCTGGGGTGCTGCACACTGGGCATTGTGCAAGAGATGCACGGACACAAAGTTCCCTGGGCTTTGGGGGAACAGTAGGGGTGGGGCTGCTCTGCTGGATCTCCTCCTCACGAGTGTTTCACCAGCTGCAGTCTGCAGCTCCCACCCCTGACCCCTGTGGCACCAGGGGCTCACTGGGCAGCATTTGCTCAGGGTAAGAGAGTTCCCTTGCCAGCACTACACAATGAGCAGTGGGCAGGATATCACGGGGACACAGAGCTCCCGGGGTTTGGAGAGTGCTAGGGGACTGACTGCTCCAGCACTGCCTGGCCACCCTTCCTCCCCAGGGTCTCCTGGCTGAAGCTCAGGGCTCCCTGCCCCGCAGCCCTGTGCTGCCCAGGGTTCGTTAAGCAGCTGTTTTCTGGAGGCAGAAGAGCTCTCTTGCCAGTTCAGAACAGTGAGGAATAGACAGGGTCTCACATGGACATGGAACTTCCTGTGTTTGGAGCATGCTGGGGCACTGACCGCTCTGGTGCCCTTGGAAATCTCCTTCTCACCCAAGTTTGACTTACAGCCTGTGGCTCCCGGAAGCACACTTCTCCCCAGTAAATGCTATTCTCTCGTTCTGCGCTTTTCCAGAGGCCCAGTGCTACCTTCTGGGTCTCTGTCTTTTGAGCAGTTTTCTTGCATTCAGTTTCTCTGGTGCCTACTCTGTGACCCTCTCAATTTTGGGGTTCCCACTCCCAGGGGGTAGGGACAGTAGAACAGGAACCCTGCCCAGGGGACTGGGCTCTGCTCCTGTGACCCCTTCCCTCAGGATGGTAGAACCACTCCCAAGGTGGAGTATTCAGCAGACCTGGAGTTAATGGGTGCTGTGAACCAGAGCCATCCCACTTACCTTTCTAACTCCCTGGAAGATGTATTTGATGTAGTGGATTTCTCCTTTGGGTTGAGTTTCCATATTTGACTATGTTTGCCTCCCCCATTTCTCAGTACCTGTATTTTCCAGTAAATCTCCTCTGGGCTTCCCAAGCACAGGTCTGCATCTACTTGGCCATGATGGGTCTCTTCCGGAGACTCAGTTTGCGTTTGGTTCATTTGAATCAGTAAGGCTAATACACAGGTGATGTAAAAGCTTTCAAGACTTATGCACATGTACATTAGAAGAAACTACCAAATGTTACTGTAAGCCATGGATGTATTCTTTTTCAGTACTAATCTACTGCTGATATACAGAAGATAACATCTCATATTGTTAAGGTATCATCATTCTCTTTTAAACCGGACTTATTTTTTCCTCAGTGATTTTGGATTTGACACTGCATTTGCCCTTTAAAATGGTACCTGATGTGTGCCAAGGCAATTGTGGACTTGAATTCACCCCCAAATCCAAGCAGCATGAGTAAGTTTTGCTCATCCTACAAAGTGTAGCAGTGGGCGCTTCTCACCACTTTTCATTCAGCAGCACCAGGTTCATTTAATTGAACTGACTCCAGTCAGGAGAAATGCATTCAACTCAGCTAACTTCAAAATACTTCATTTTGTTTCTGCATATGTTAGATACTTCTCACAATTGAAAATGCAGACATTTTGAAGGGAAAGTGGTAAATCCTTCCAATAAAAAGGCAAATGTATGAAGGAACCAAAATTGTAAATCAACCATTTGGAAAGTGAAGACTGGAAACTAACTTGCACTAAATTTACAAATAGTTATATTCTTTCTGTAAATATTTTCTAAAACTATAGATTAGAATATACATATTTGGGACATTTTCTGTTATCAGACAGAATTTTTAGATGATTAGAACCTGGTGCAAAACCTCAAAGTGGGCCTGACTTTCAATAAATCTATAGTTGCTTGATACACAGAAACCTTTTGAAAATGAAGGTGTTCATTGAACTCTTTTGTTTACGTGGTCACAAAGTGGTGTTAACATGCTCAGGTGCCTAATACAGCCATTGTAAATCTTGAAAACATGTCAATACATCCCATCTTTAGAAATCTACAGGGGAACAACTGGACCAGACAGATCTTATGCTACGGTATGTATGAATGAACACTCCCTTTTGCATCTCACCTGCTACTGTATAACCACTTGGAATGCATAACGAATTTCTGAATGTTATTTTGATTCTTAGTAACTTCGCGTGTTATGGAATTGATCTTCACTAAACACAAACTGTAAATAAGAAGAAATGCATGGCTAAAACAGAAAGAAATCTACAGATATTTACATGTCAATGATATAACAAAATGCAAGTTGAAACTTAATAATTGTAGATCACTATCACAAATCATAATAGGATTTTAAGTAATTTTTTTAGGACACACATGTGTAAATACGAAATAGTTTCTCTGGAGTGAGAAACTGAAAGGGTACATGAGGACCAAAATGTATAATAGATAACATGAAACAGAAAGAAAAGGTCCAAAGGGGAAGGGGAAGTGGGAGGGGTATGGGAAAGGAAAGAAAGGAAAGGAAAAAATATGAGAAAAGGAAAAAACAGAAACAAGGTCTTTGTAAATAGGGATGGGTGGAAGGGTTGAAGGGAGGGCAGGGGAATGGGGAAAAAATAAGAACCAAGATACATCATGTAAAGGTACAAATTCCTGATGATGAATGTCATCATATTGTATACCTAAAACGTACCAATAAACTTAATTTAAAAATAGAGATCTGGATCTGACATAACCAGTTATATGAAGGAACCTACAAGAGTGGAGAGATGAGAGAAATTAAAAAATATTAAATGAGAGAAAACTGATTTAAACATACTATACTTCATGACATATACATTAACTACATTGAATAAAAATAAAGACCTTTAAATAAGCAAAACAAAGGGAACACAAATATTTCAAATTTAAAATAAAATTTTACCAAAATAAATAGTAAAAAAGACTTTATTTCATATTGGTTTTTGCGTGTGTGTTTTTTGGTACCAGGGATCGAACTCGGGTCCTTCCACTTGCACAGCAGGAGGTGAAACCACTGAGCTAAATTCCCGGCCCAATTTCATATTGTTACTAATCACTACTCATTATAAAAATAGAAGCTTTATCATATCAACACTTATCACTGCAATAAGACTTACTCGTGAAGGTTCTTAAGGTTCAGTCAAATAGGGGTGCATTCAGGATAGAACACATGAAAAGCAGATAAATTCACATATGTGATGAGATGAAATATTTGCTTACTTCTTCCAAATGACCCTGGAGACACACCGCTCTCGACTCATGAGAATTAGGGGGCTGGCAGTGGGGAAACAAGTATTGGAGAAGGCAGAAGTTTTGACTAGCCACCAGGCAGTTCCATCATGAAGGAGAAACAAAACATGAATGATGGAAGACAGGGCATAGAAGGATATGAAGGCAGTGACCAGGATGAGGGTGCTTTGAGTGGCTCTGGTCTCAGGGGAAGACGGTGATGAGATTTTGTGGCTACGAAGATGGTGGACCCGCTGCTTGTGCCTGTACAGATGGAAAACTATGGAGCCACTGGCCCAGACCATGAGCGCCAAACACAGAATGTCATGGGAGAATGCCAACACTCCAAACAATGAATCTTTTTCTTTGTCAGGAAGGGTAGCTGAACAGTACTGAAAATCTATAGTTTTTGTGCTGTTTCCGTTGTTCCCTTTGTCACTCATAAGCATAGGAACTCTGACATTTAGCAGCATGTGCAGGCCCCAGCAGAGGATGTTAGACAAGCCAATAAATTTTAGGGCTTTCCTTTTCAGCTCTGCCCACCTGGAGCTCCTGGGGCTGATGGTGATGGCCTGGAAAACACTCAGGAGGCAGGTGCTGCCCATGGACCCACCCCTGCCCACCCTGTGCACATAGAACACAAGCTTGCACCCAACATCACTGAGGAAACTTTGCAACCCAAATGCTGCCATGGTCTCTGGGATTCCTCTGGAGAGAATGACCAAGAGGTTGGCCACGATCAGGTGCCTGAGGATCACATCTGTGGACCTGGACCTGCAGCCACTGAAGTACAGGATGCAATAATGACCCAAGAGTGCTAAGTTCCCGGCAGTTCCAGTGACAATCTGGAAAAGGAAGATCACTGCAATTCTCAAATCCACAGGGGCCATTTTATGATTGTCCAGGATTTAACATAAGCATTCAAAACACATGATTCTGTGTGAGAAGATAACTTGTAGGGTACTTCATAAAACATTAAAATCAAAATTCTTTGCTTACCATCACCTCTCCTCAGAAATTTGCTTCTAAGATATGATTTCCCTTAAGAGTTTTCCAAAGTCTTGCATGTTTCTTTACAAAGCACTTACAAGGTATAGACCCCAATGACTTACCCCTTCTAACGTATTTAATGCACACAATATGATGAGTTAGGACCTAAATTTTTTTTCTTTTTATCCACAAAGATGACTGAACAAAAAGGAAGTTATATGATTCATCTCAATTCAATAAAGAACAGGTTTACTCATGACAGCCAGGCTGCAGGGCACTGTGATTCTTTGCACGCTGTACTACCAGAGTGGCACAGTGGTCATTCAGTAACCCAAACACGTGTGTACCTTGTCATATTCGAAATCTGCTACTAAATAAAGTCGATCGTGGTCATTTCCCATTCTTTTGTGAACAGTTCTATATACATGCATCAATTATGAATGAAGATTCAAAAGACAAAAAATTGATGTGTAAACAATTTCCTATCACAAAAATTGTTAGTGACTACAGAGCAATACTAAAATAGCAACAGAAATAGCCATGTAATATTTTTTCCAGTGACATCTAGCATAGAAATAAAGGGTAATATTTGGTTTTGATCTGAGCTAAGGTACACAAAATTTAAATATATGATAAAGTATTTTACATTAAAAACTAACTCATTAGATAGCCCACAATTATGTGCTTTTATTTTAGAAACACAAAGAAAATGAAATAAGCAATTTGGGAATGTGGCTAAAATTCAAGGCAAGCCTGCAAAAGGAAACTTTGAAGCATCAAATCTTGCACATTCATATGGCAGAGAGACCGAGACAGAACCTGAAAGCGATTGTGGAATTTTTGCTACCTGACAAAATATCAGCAAGCACATTTAAATCTGAAACTACCAGAAGCCCTTAATTTTTCTGGTGTATGAATCTCTCACATTTCCAGGGTGTCTCCTATCCTTCCTTCAGGAAGGAAAAGTATCCCACCATCAACAGACTATGGATATTTTCAGAGAGGCCTAATCATCATCTCCACTAATCATGTCAAACTCAGTGAGAGAAAAATCTGTGGACTACACCAATTACCAATTGATCACGTTTTGTTTACACCAGAAAATATCTGATTCAATTTACACAATCACAGTCATTATGACAAACACATATTTTACTGAAGAAACAATACTGGTTATTTAACTTTCTCTGTGATTTCTGTAAAGCAGGCTGAATAGTGAACTGATTTCTGAATCATATTCTTAAGTATCTTGCAAATCAGGTGTCATGACTGCTTCAGGCAGTCTCCCTGAAACATACTCAATGCTGGTATGAAAAAATGTGAAGAGAAGTCAGAGGCTAGTTTGGGAATCTCAGACCTCCAGGCCCTGGTCCACAAGCTCAGCCTCTGCCTCAGGAATTGCTGTTCCTTCCGGTGTGTGTCCATTACCCCCAGGTACACTACATTTCCAGACATGATGCCTCTCCAGACACAGACACAGATGCAGCACCTTCCCTTCCACACTTAGTTTCACAAATTGGAATAGAAAACGCTCACCAGGCTCCTTCCAGCTTCCCCCATTGATGGTCTTGACACCCTCTGCTCATGTGGGAGAGAGGTGGCCAGATCTTGAGATATGGGCCCCAGTTGTGACCTCAACTCCCCACACAAATGCAATTATCACATCATCTCCACCCCCTTGAAATGCAATCATCACATTGCATCATCCTTCAGAAAAGCAATTAGCACCAATGTTTAAATGGCAGTGAATCATTGGGTGTTGTGACTAATCTTGCAAAGAAAGAAAAAAACTTTCTCTCTACTTCTCAATTCCCCAAAACAATTAGGAGATTCTGCAAACACCTCTAGACACATGAAGTTTGAGTGTTTTGGAGAAGCTCTTATTTTGCTGAAATAACTAGAGACAGAGCCTCACGTGGTGCAGGAAGAAAATATTGAGGTCTCACAGGTGAAAGAATCTCAGGGAAGTGTGGACATGTAAAATTTGCAATTCTAATTGACATTAAAATCATATGTATTTATTTCATATGACTATTTGGGGTGGCGCCAGGGATCAAACTGAGAACCTTGCACTTGCAAGGCAGGCACAGAGCTAAATTGCCGCCCAACTGTACTTATTTTACCCGGTTTTAAATATGCATATAATGTGGTTGGGTATATAGAGAGAGCCAATTAATATATGCAATCCCCCTCACCAGGGATTTAGCTCAGTGATTCTGCCACTTGCCTCACAAGCACAAGGTCCCAAGTTCATCCCCAGTACCAAAAAAAATAATAATAAAATTAAATAAAATTAAAATTAAAAAATAAAAATAAAATACAATCCCCCAATTTTTGTGATAAAGCACTTAAAAATACTCTCAATGATTTTCAAGAATCCAATACATTGCCATTGAATAGTCATCATTGTGTACAATAGATCTCTGCAACTTGTTCCTCCTAACTGAAATTTTGTGTCTTTTGACATTTCCCCAAATCACTCCATGCCTTAGCCAATGATAAACATCATTCTGTTTTTTTACATCCATGGGTTAAATTTTTACACTCCACATTTTTAGGATCTTTTCACTCTTTTTGTGCCTCTCTTATTTTAAAGCTTAGCCTAATGTCTTCCAGGCTTATCTACAATGTGCGGATGACAAGTTTTCATTTGTTATAGTTGGAGAGCATTCTAATGTGTATATAAACCATGTTTCCTTTGTCAGTTCATCTACTGGTGGTTCATTTGGTTCCATGTCTTGCGTAATGTGAAAAACAGTGCAGGTGTCATGGTAGTGCTGCTATCACTTCAACACACTCATTTAACTTCCTTTAGACATAAACTCAGAATTGTAAGATTGAGGGAGTATCTGATAGGTTTATATTTAATTTCCATATTGATTTTTACAATGAATGTAGTAGTAATTTACATTCCTACCAATACTGTGTAAGATTCCCTTTTGCCACATCCTCTACAACACCTGGTTTCCTTTGTCCTTATCTAAACAGCCATTGTAATCAGAATGAGGTGATATCTCATGGTGGTTGTAATTCATATTTTTCTGATTATTAGTGATGTTTAACATTTTTTGATATACCAGTTGACAATTTGGTTGCTCTCTATGAGAAATATCTATTCGGGAAGGATAGGAGATTCCTGGAATTGTGAGAGATTCCTATATCAGAGAAATTAAGGGCTTCTGGTTGTTTCAGATTCAAATATGCCTGCTGATATTTTTTCAGGTTGCAAAAATGCCACAATCATTTTCAGGCTCTGTCTCAGTCTCTCTGCCATATGAATGTATGAGATTTGATGTCAGTTCCTGACAAATATAGAATTTGTAAAAGTCGTGTTGCTTTGTTTTTTGAAACTTCTTTTTTGTCTATTTTGATGTTTTGTGTCTCCTGAAATAGACATCTCTCCAATTTTATTTGAAGGTCTTTTGGAGGGATTGATCCCCAGCATCAGAGAGGAGAAAATAAATGGCAGTAATGTTGAAGACACAAGGACAAACCAGATATTGACATACAGTAAAAATCAATTAAAAGCAACAACTATGTCACCATTAAAAATAGAAATCAACAGAAGTGATAGAACACAAAGACAAACCAAATATTTACATACATTAAAGAGCCACTAAAAGCAATAACTATATCACCATTAATAATAGAAAAGAAATCAGCAATTATAACTTACAGCAAACCAGACAGGCTGGGTTAAAGGGCAGTTTATTCTGTGAAAGAATTTGTGGGCTTCCAAACTGCAACTGGATGAAGTATTTGAGGCTGATGTAGCCGTTGCTTCTGCCTGGCTAACTGGTCTACCAGGTCCATGTCATTCCAGGACACTGGCATTTCAATCCAGCACACTCTCCACATCCCCAGACCCAGGATATTAAAGGAACATCCTGCCTGCATGATGTTGTACATTAATGGAATTATTCTTGAAATTTCACATCCAGTGAAGTCGTGGGAAAATAAAATATCTCCAGTTGAAAATTTCACATTCTATCGCTATATTATTTTAGTTTGTCATTTATTCACCACTCTCTACAATAAATGTCTCATTATTATAATTAATATCTTGTACATAGGCCTTCAAATGCATAGATTGCAAAAGCAAAAATAGATAAGTAGAATTACATCAAATTATAATTTTCTAAAGAAAATTATAAGAAACAAGAGAATTAAAAAGGAACCTACAGAAAGAGAGAAGATTTTCCAGGGCTTATATTTCATCAGGTGTTAACATCCAAAATATATATACAAGGAAGTCCAACAACGTAACAGCAAAATATAGATGAACTGTCATTACCAAATTAGCAAATGAGCAATGGGCCTGACCAGACTTCCTCTCAAGATGACATTCATATACCTAAAAGGAGAACATGGCAAATAACCAGGTAAATAAAAATATAAGTCAAAGTTACAAAGAGCTATCACCTACCTCCTGTTGGGACTGCCATGACCAAAACAAAGGGAACAAGCATTGGTGAGGATGTAGAGGAAAGACAACTCTTGTGTGAGCTTCATAAGGATCTAAGTCAGAGCAGCCCCTATAGAAAACGGGACAGTTTTAAGAAAACTGTCCCGTTTTCTTAAAAACTAAAAATGTTCCTACTTTTGTTCCAGCATCCCAACTTCATAATATATGTCCAACAGAATAGACATTTGGTTCTGGAAAATGTACCTTCGTTTCAATGTTTACTTCATCATTATATACAATATCTACAACAGGGAAACAACCTATGTGTTCACTGATATAAGAATGTATAAAAAATGTGGTATATCCATGCAACTACGTAATATTGACCCTTTAAAAAGGAGCAAACACTGTCATATGCAACAAGAATTAATCTGGAGCACATTATGCAAAATAAAATAAGGAAGGATCAGACAGACAATGATGTGTATTATAACA